AATAGAAAGAAATTAATCGGACAACTAAAAATAGAAAAAATTAGCCGGGCATGGTGGCGCATGCCTGTAGTCCCAGCTACTCGGGAGGCTGAGGCGGAGGGATTGCTTGAGCCCGAGAGTTTGAGGTTGCTGTGAGCTAGGCTGACACCACGGCACTTTAGCCCGGGCAAAAGAGTGAGACTCTGTCTCACAAAAAAACAAAAACAAAAAAACAAAAAACACATACAAGATACCACTAAACAAAGATGGGTATAATAAAAAAGACTGACAATAGCAAGTGTTGGCAAGGATGCAGAGAAACTGAAATCCTTCCTGACATCACTGGTGGGAATGTAACGTGGTACAGCCTCTCTTGAAAATAGCTTGGCAGTTTCTTAGAAAGTTAAACATAAAATTACCGAATGGCTCAACAATTCTACTCCTAACAATCTACCCAGGAAAAATGAAAACATATATCCACACAAAGATATGTACAGGAATGTTCCCAGAATTATTCATAACATCCAAAAACTGGAAGCAATCCAATGTTCACCGCCAGCATACGGATACACAACACGGTCTATGTACAGGAAGGAACACTATTCAGCAATAAAGACACGGGGCTACAACACGAATGAACTTAACATTACGCTAACTGAAAGAAGTCACACTGTATGATTTAATTTATATGAAATGTCCAAAGAAAGCAAATCTATGGAGACTGAGAGCAGACGGAGCAGGGATGGGGAGTGCGGGCAAACAGTAACGAGGAACCTTTTAGGGATGATGGCAATGTTCTAAAGCGGATTGTGGCGATGGTCACACAACTCTGTGAATTGACTAAAAATCACGTAAGTGTATTTCTCTATGGAGGTCACAGAAAAAAATTATTGAACTGTATACTTAAAATAAGTAAATTTTATGGTATATAAATTATACTACAATAAAGCCGCAAAAAATAAAGAGAAATATATATCCTCTTCGTCAAAATTAAGCACTAAATTCTGAACGGAAGCGGCCCTCAACAAGAAGTCCGCCTCCCCCACCAGAGAAGCCCTCAAGTCTGGCAGAGAAGCGCCCCGAGGCTGTCAGCACTCACACCCTGACCCAGGGAGAGTGTCCTGATTCAGGCTGCCTCAGCTGCTTTTCGTGAAGGCCAAGGTCGCAGACTGGCAGTTTCGGGACAGAAGTGAAAGTGCTTTACCTCGGCTAACGAGGCCGGAGCACCTCAGTGAGGTGACTACACAATCCACTGCACTTTTCCACATTTCAGGACAGTCTTCTCTGTATCTTTCAGCCAGTCGCTCTGTTTTATTCATTTTTTTACTTAGAAAAGGAACCAAAAGGGCTACTTTCATTTACCTACCCAACCCAGTCTTCCTGAAAAAGGAAGCGCAGGCCACAACGCTTCCACGAGGTGCTTGCACTTTTACTCTACAGCTTCCTAAAATTCCAGGAAAACCCTGCACAGAGAACTCGCCGTCACTTAGGTCTGACTGCCGTTCAAGATCGCTGCCAGCCTCAGACACACAATTCTGCTCCCTCCTAGCGAAGAGGCGCTTGGGAAGTCACTGGTGCAGAGAAGCGTCCCAAGACTCACCTGCTGCATTGTAGTCGATCCTCCACATCCGCTGCGACACAGGTCGGTCTGGACATGGGATGATGAATGAGACGACAAACACCACCAAAAGGCAGACAAACAACGAAAGGAAAAATGCCACTGTACGGCATCGGGAAAGCCGGGACTGCAGATGCGTGCTTTTTAAGTTATCTTCATTTTTCAATTGGTTTCCCAGATTTTCCTGTGATTTTCTGTCTTCATTCTTCAAGGGGTGGATTTCAGCTTCTAAATCCTTGTTGTCCATGATCGTGTGCACATCCCCAAGTTTAACTCCTGGTCACTGTGCCAATAAAACAAGAGGTAGCAAGGCTGGCAGCCCCACAGCACACAGAGGACTCTCCCAGAACCATGGACCATGGCCCAGGAAATAGCAGCTGGATGGATGTTTAGGTGTCAGTCTTAACAGGCTAGGCTGCACTTAAGGTTTCTAATTAATGCAGAAAGGTACATTAGTTGTGTAGGGCCAGCGTTCATTCTTAGCACGAGTGGAGTGAGCCTCAGGGGAGTGCTGGGGTTGGTGCCAGGAAATATGCCCACACATTACATATTAACCAAACCCCACCTACTCATCACCTGGGCACACCTGACAACCTTCTGCGAGCCTCAAGCACAGACGGAAAAGGTGGCCCAGCTAAGAATTTGGTGAAACCAACATGCTCACACATGGACTCCCTAGAGGCCCATAGACCCCAACCCAAAGCATCCTAAGTCAAGATGGGCTCTGGACCGACAGCCTTGCCCCTCACTAACCACGACCTGGGACAAGTGATTTGATTTAACTGTGCTTCAGTTTCCTTATCTATAAAAGAGAAATAATATCTACTTTAGAAGACTGAGCCAGGCATGGTGACTCACGCCTGTAATCCCAGCACTTTGAAGGGCCAAGGCAGGATGATCACTTGAGGTCAGAAGTTCGAGACCAGCCTGGACAACATAGTGAGACCTTGTCTCTACAAAAAATTAAAAAATTCGCCAGGCGTAGTACACGCTTGTAGTCCTAGCTACTCCAGAGACAGGAGGATTGCTTGAGCCCGGGAGTTGGAGGTTTGTGCCATTGTATTGTAGCCTGGGCAACACAGCCAGACCCTGTCCCAAAACACAAACAAAAAACCAAATCTGTATGCATTCTCCTTAGTGCTGAAGCATAAGCTTTTACATCTTGGAGGTCAGAAAAGGTATGACTATCAAAGGTAATGAGTTGGACACAAGGAAATTCAAACAATGAGTCATGATCAGGGACCTCATTAAACGCAAGCCGCTGACACGGGTGTGGCGGTACAGCAGCAATTGCCTGGAGAAGGTGACGGGGGTGGGCAATAGAGCCTGGGAGTGGCTCAGGTGGGGACCAGGGCTTAAGGACCTGAGAGAGCTGTTTATTTAGCAAATCTAGCGCCCATGTCCCCAATGAAGGGATGTTTGAAATGTTTCAAACATAAATTCTTTTGGCAAAGGAAAAAAACTGAATGAGAAACCAGAATGCTAAAATTCTAGATTTCTATCTTTAAAGCTTTAAAATTTCAGGCAAGGAACTCAAGCTCTTTGAGCCTCAGCTGGCCCCATCTGTCGGGAGCCAGAACATCTCCAAGGAAAGTACAAGACAGTGCCCCTAAAACCACGAGGTGTTGCATAAGAAAGAGCATCTGCTCAGAATGACACCAGGAATCTGAACACACGGTCCACCCGTCTTATGTGCCCATGTTTCCCAGACCTACCTGGTGGCAGGAGGACGTGTTCAACACTAGTTCCTGGCCAGCCGCTGGTGCATCTGGTAACTAGGTTTGGACAGGGAATCTGTGCCTTGATAAGCCCAGGTAGACCTAGGAATTATAAAGCCATTGGTGAAATTCATCTCAGGTAGCCTATGAATGCATCAGTTGAAGGACTTAGGTCCTTCGAGAGCCATGACTCTCAGCCTTGGCTCCATAGGAAAGCCTCTTGGGTGCTTTCACCATCTGGTGCCACACCAGAGGTATCAGCCTCTCTGGGGAGGGGGTTCCCAGCAAGAGCAGCTGTTGACGCTCTCCAGGTGATTCCGAGTGGAGAAGCACTGGCCGAGAAGTCTGCCCTTGTTCCGTTCATCTCACTTTAATCATTAGATGACGAATAGATGTCTCCTGGCCCCTGAAGTGGAGACTCTGTCTCCCCACTTGCCAGCCTGGAAGAAAGCAAAGCAAAGGGAGGAAAGAGCCTCTTCCTCTCATCAAGACATCCGAGGCTGCATTCTGGGCTTTTTCTTCCTTGGAATTCTCAGCAAATGAGTAAAGCAGACCTCAAGCTAGTGAATTAAATCGCTCCTCTTCTTAATCATTCTTCTGATCTCTAAACTATGTGGATTCCCAACACTAAGACCAAAAGATAGTACGAACAATTATTAATGTAATTTGGATTTTTAATTTTTTAAAAATCAGCAATAAGGCCAGGTGTGGTAGCTCACACCTGTAATCCTAGCACTCCGGGAGGCCAAGGCGCAAGGATCGCTTGAGGCCAGGAGTTGGAGACCAGTCTGAGCAAGAGCAAGACCCCGTCTCTATAACAAATAGAAAAATTAGCCAGGCATGGTGGTGAGTGCCTGTAGTCCCAGCTACGCGGGAGGCTGAGGCAGGAGGGTTGCTTGAGCCCAGGTGTTTGATGTTGCTGTGAGCTGTGATGCTGCTGCTGCAGTTCGGCCTGGGCAACAGAGCAAGACCTTGTCTCAAAAACAAAACACCTCTTGTTTGTCGCATATAATAAGGAATAAGGATTGCTACAATTTCTTGGTGGACTGACCTTCTATCATTATATAATATCTACTCTGTCCCTAGTAATTTCCTTGCTCTGAAGTCTGCTTTGTCTGATGTTAACATAGTCACTCATCTTCTGATTGATGCATCTCACTTTTCCCATCCTGTTACTGTCTGCCCACCTACATCTCTACGTATTTGAAGTAAGTTTCTTTCAGACACCATATAGATTTTTTAAGCCACTCTGCCCATCTGTCTTTTAATTGGTACGTTCAGACCACTCACTTTTAACATAATCATCAATGTTTGATCTTAATCTGCTTTTTTCTTTTGTTTGTTCCCTCTATTTTTTGTTTCTGTTTTCTTTTTCTTGACCTCCTGTGGGTTACTTGAACATTTTTTGGAATTCCATTTCGATTTATCTGTAGTGTTTTTGAGTGTATCTCTCTGTATAGGTATTTTAGTGGGTACTGTATTATATTATACCCACTTATCACAATCTACTGGGTGGGCGTGGTGGCTCACGCCTGCAATCCCAGCACTCTGGGAGGCCAAGGCCAGAGGATTGCTTAAGCTCAGGAGTTCGAAAGTCTGGCCTCATAGGGCTATTTTTATATTGGGGTCAATAATAAATGATTGATAGAAGTGAGATATGGGCAGATGAGGTAGCTCATGCCTATATCCCAGCTCTTTAGAGGATAGTAGTTTGAGGTCAGGAGCTCGAGGCTGCAGTGAGCTGTGAGGATGCCACTGCACTCCAGCCTGGGTGACAGAGCAAGACTCTGTCTCAAAAAAAAAAAAAAAAAAATCTACTGGAGTCCACATTTTACTAGTTGGAACATATTACTAGTTGGAGTGAAGTATATAAACCTTAACTATCTTCATAAACCTTCCCTGTTTACAGTTTTATCAAATATTTTCTCTACATACATTGAGAATCACATCAGATAACGTTATATTTTCACTTCGTCAAACGTAATTTAGAAAATCCAAGGAAGAAAAGTCTATTACATTTACCGGCATTCTTGCTTTTTCTATTGTTCTTTCTTTCTTATTAAATGTTCCAAGATTTTCTTTTATCATTTGTTTCTTTTTTTCTTTT